GGGTGAGCAGTGTATTTAGTGTGCAGTGATGCAATACTATTCCCCCCACTGTTTTGCATCCTTCTCCTCCTTGGGATAAAAGAGCCAGACTTCCACCATTTACATTAAATAGATTGTGGAATCACAGAATGGCTTGGGTTGGAAGACACCTTAAGGATCATCCAGTTCCAACCCCCCTGCCATGGGCAGGGACACCTTCCACTAAACCAGGTTGCTCCAAGCCCCGTCCAACGTGGCCTTGAACACTTCCAGGGATGGGGCATGAGATCTTACAGTGCCTGTTGTTCTCAGAACTAAAGAAAGCCAGCTCTTGCAGAGCACTTACTCTTCATCTCTTCGGGAGGTAGGAGCCTTCTCTTATTACCAGCACTTCTAACAGCAGAGGTCCCAGAGTTCTGCTCATGGGAGAGAAGCAGCTGATGAGCTCACGGAGGAGCCCAGACCACAGGATGGATCCAGTACATTTACTGCACTTACACTTAGATGGGAAATCCCAGGCATAAGGACCCACAAATGCGAACTCACATTAAGTCTGTACCTACCCAAGCACTTAAAAAGCCATCTTGAGGATGTGCCCCTTCTCCTCTCGTCACAAATAACAAGCTCTCAGCTTCCAGAGCCTGCAGGACTCAGCACTGCTCCTCTTCAGCCACTTCACGCCCCCTGTGCTGCTGTCACCCACTCAGTCTTTGCCCCTCTCCAGTTCAGGTGGTTGCACTGACTCTGCCAGCAGCAGGTGTTCACACAACCACCCCCTGGTAACCCAAACTGAAGGGCAGAGGGGCACAGCAACAACAATTTCTAACTGAAAACCCTCCCGTGTGCCCCCGGGACCCCCAGCTGCGTGCAGCAAACCTGCACTGAGCAAAGCGGTGCCTGACACGGTCACACCTGCACAGCTGGGTGTGTTGTTTACCCTGATAACTTTAAAAACCCCTTTTTGGCCCGAATAATAAGTATTATGCCCTGTACTATACGGCACAAGCGATTTTAAAGGCTTTTGGCTGAGCGCTATCAGTTTGGGCAGAGCCTCTCCCGGCCCATTTGGCTCCTTCTGCCCAGCCCCAGCACATTCAGTGAATTACTAAAATCTAAACAGGCTCTGCATTTGAATTGATCTCCCAAAGCTGCACAGGGCTCCAGCAGGAAAGCTCTGTATGCACTGGCACGCCTGCTGCAAAACAAGATAAATACCTGGCACCCCTCCCGCTCCTCCATAACCAAAATGAGGACAAATAGCTGCATTATTGGCTTCATTAGCGCCTGTCTTAGGAGATCTTATTTTTCTTGGGAATAGAGGAAAACATCCCAAGAGAGACACTGGAACAGGCCGCCCAGAGAAGCTGGGTAATACTTCCAACAATGCCACATTCCCTGGAATTGTTCAAGGCCAGGTTGGACAGGGTTTGGAGCAATCTGGTCTAGTGGAAGGTGTCCCTGCCCACGGCAGGGGGTTGGAATGAGATGATCTTTAAGGTCCCAACCCAAACCATTCTGTGATTCTATGAAATCCCACGACCAAACAGGATTTTCCCAGAACAAAATTTAACAAAGATCAAGAGTAAAATTCTGGATCTAACTCTTGCAACACTACAGAGACATTCTGCTTTCTGCTGGAGAACTCTACTCCAGTGACATGTGAGCATAAACAAAGGCACTGGTCCCCTCCCACAGTCCCCACACCAGCAAGGAATTCCAGCCCTGCAAAATAAACAAAGTAAGGTCCAGTGTGTTTAAGACATGCACTGCCAAAAATCTCCTGCCAACACCCAGCCAGCTGGTGGTGGGAAGTCTCTGGGTGGTAACGGGTCTCAACACTGGACAAAACTATTATTTTTTTTGTTCTAATTACATCATTATAGCTCCAAAGTAGTTTCTGTGGATGTTCTCCTTAACCTCCTGGTAGCTCGGCCCTCAGCCCAGCTGACCACAGCAGTGCACACACAGCCAAGCTGATAAGCACTTGTAGGGCACAATTCATCTGATTTGCTCACACTAGAACCCACCCTAAAAATGCCAATTTTTTTTTCTCCTCTCCACTGGGAGCCCCTGATGAACAGCTCAGCTGTTTTTACTGCAAACATTTTCAGTTAGGGGAAAGATCACCATCCCCCACAGCACCACTTTAGTCTTTCCTGTAAGTCCGTGGAGTTGGCCAAGACCAGAAACAATCAGCAAAGTTGCTTATCCTAAAAATGCTGCAAAACAACCCCTTCATTTAATCCTTCTGCTCCTCTACCCAACGCTGCTATTTCCTAACCGCTCCACACTACTAATCTGCATATCCAAAATACAAATGGAAAATGCTGGTCCTAAGAAAAACAAAACACAGGAATGGGGTGAGATTCCTTAACAAGGTTGGATTGGGAACACACCGGTCACCAAACACAGCTTCCTGCACCTCCCAAGTGTGCTCCCAGCCTTCAGGATTCTTGGGGAATCCTGTGAGTTGTCCATGATAGGTTGCAAGAAAAATGCCACTGTACAGAAAATTCTGATGACTGAACGTTTCGTGGAAGATTATTTGTCCAAAATACTTTGTGTAGCAGCTGAAAAGACCACAGCACAGTTCCCAAGGGAAAGAGCTTACACAAACAGGGCAAAGCTTCTGGATGGGCTTTCACAGCAGGTTTTTTTTTTTGACACTCTTCCTTCCTCCTTTCGCCCAGAGGTGAAAGTGGAAAGTTTTCTCATCCAGAGGATGCCTTGGCCACTGAGTACTTAAACAAACACAGTATCCACAAAACCTGGGGTTTTTCTTTCTCACTGGAGAAAATTCAACTGTTCAAAGGCCTTATTTAATCAGCTGGTGCACATGTACAGGTGAGCTCAAGCACTGAAGAGGCTGTTTCACCCCTTCCTTTAAGAGAAGGATGAGCACAATTTCCAAATACCTTTCACAAGCCACATGTTCAAACATGCTTCACCCCCACCTGCACACAACACGAGGTGATTACAACACTCCTGGAATGTTTGTACCTGCTCTCTGGCCACAGGTTTTAAATTTCCCACCACCATTTTATGCCTTGTCTTCAATCCCAAAGATAAGTGTATTCACAGATAACACCAAAGAAATTGCGAGTTCTACCAATCTGAGACATTCTGCCTATGATGCAAACCCCTGTGTCAGCTGGTCCTTTATGTCATTGGGAATTTCATACCAAACATTAAGGATGACGGCTGGAAGTGAATACGGAAGAAACACGCAGTTTCTCCCGGAACCACAAGTTTTGGATGCTCCCATCAAAAGGAAAGAATACAAAAATCCACCTAGCCCCAGAAGGTTCTAACTGCTCCCAGTGACAGCTCCCAGTGACAGCTGGGGACACGGAACTGAGGCTTCCCAAACTCTGGATCAAGTGACGAAAGACAACACTGCATTGTACTTCTTAATGGGATGTATGTACTGCAAAGCACACATGGAAAGGTCAACCCCACCCTTGAGAACAACCAGTTCAAGTCCAAGGAGAACTAGATCCACTTTTCTGCTCCATTCCAAATCAACATTTTTTTTTTTTAGATAAGCAGTTTCCCAAGGTTTGTGCCATGGTTCCTTGTCTATAAGAAAAACTTCTTAAACCCAGGATAAAAAACACCTGCAGAACATTTCTTTCTTCATTTTTATTTTCCAGTAAGGTACATAGCCTTTCACTAGGAGCTTGGGGCTGAATATATTTATTAAAAATTGAGAGGTGCTCATATAATTTAATAGTAAATTCTAGAGGAGTATTTAGCTTGTTATATTCTTTCTTTATTCCCTTAACAAAGGAAGCAAAAATTCACGTTTTATCCAATGTCTGGAAATGACATTAACCATATCTAGGAAATCCTGAGAGGTGAGGTCTTAGCATTTAAGTAACAATTAAGTTATGCTTTCCATAAGATGTAATTGTGGTGTTTGGACATTACTAATTCCAGATATTTTTTCAATTAATAAACTAATCGTTGCATAAGGTTCTAGTAACAGGCAATGGAACAGGCAAATCTGGAGAGTTCTTTTCTAAACATGCAACTTGCTATTTTTTTTCCTTGAGTCATTTCAGGTAACTAAACCAAGCATGACCTAGGAACGGGAAAGCACCAAGGAAAAAGATCACTAAAAATGATGTCACTTGGCTTCTATTTCTTGTTTACGGTGATACTACAGCAGAAAACGTAATTATAAACATCAGTTTGTACCAGGTATAAGATATTCCACATTGAAAAAATGGATTGTATTACATAATGCTAAATAGGTTTAAAGGCTTCTCCAAATTCCAAAGCTCACACACATTTTGCCTGCCTTAATAAACCAAAACTACATAACAGATCTGCATGAACACCTCGGGTGCAAATGCACACATCTGGAAAAGCCAGTTTGAAAGAGGTACAAGTAACAAAAATATGCTTTCCAGCCCTCTATCCAAACCAGAGAGGTAATAATTGTTAAACATGGAGTTTAAAGCAACTTCAATAAACAGTCACTCCGTCATTCTAAAAAGCACTTTCTGATTGGAATTACCCTCATTTTTATTTTTTTTTTTTTAGGAATTGAATTCTAGTAATGTTGTATGAATTATTCAATGATTCTATCAGCTTATTTTCAACCAAATTCTGTTTTCTTTTCCCTGAGGAAATTCCAACAGTACTTGCATGCGCCACTCCAGTATTAGCAAGAGTTAGAGGCCTTTATGCTCTTTTTTCTATACAGATAATGTATTCTTCAAGCTCATTTCCACTGAGGGGAGAAAAAAAACACTTTCAGTTTGGCTTTCCTCATGAATAATACATTAAAAATTTAATATTAGAGAACAAATCTTCTTTTTAAGCCTCCAGAAACAGTACTATATTTGCCCTATTACTCTGAAAAGATTCATGTACATATTTAAACACGAGTAAACCATAAGCTCCTGTTCTCCGTAATTAAGCTGCAACAAAATATTTCCCCATTTATCAGACCAATTCTAAAACAATTCTGTGTAGCTTTATAACTGTCATTAAAAAAAAGGATAATCCCTTACCGTATCCACAACAAGGACTGTAATGCATTTTGTTCCATAACTCTGTGTTAGAATATCAAGTGGAACAGATTTACTTTTTTTTCCAGCCATTCATGAAAAAACAGTTTGTTTACACGGAGGAGAATCCTGATTTCGAGTAGGAAACCGAAATCCACAAGAAAAAAACATTTACACAGCAGCAAAAATTATGTAAGGGAGGAGAGGCAGGAGAAAATAAGCGCCTGGTAAAAGGATGAAAACTTCTAGGAAGAGAAGAGTCCTTCTAAGAACAGCAGCCGCATCGATCTCGTGCCACTTGTTCAAGCCTCTGCTCCGTGGGCTGATGGCTCCACCACGGTCTCAGGCTTCCGATTCCTTCTCGGGCTTGTGTAAAAATAAACGAACTGCTGAATGTGAACCCAGATGTTTCAGAAATCAGAAAGCAAGAGTCCAATCATGCTGCTACAAGAGGTGCATTTTTAAGTGTCCGCGTCTGGCGAGGCTGCGCTACAAGGCGGGATCACCGAGTTCAACTCCCTGGAGGCTCCCAGCATCTTTTCCAGGAAGCCACCAGCAAGTTCATGACACTGAAGGAACTGGACAAGGTGTCCTTTGAGAAAGGAGCACACTACAATCTGCAGGATGAAGGACAAATACAACCAACACAAACTCTGCCTTCGCTGCTCAGGGTTGGGTCACTAACGGGGCCTCGTCACAGAGAGGGACTGATGGTTGGGCTCGATCATCTTAAAGGGTTTCTTCCAACCTAAATGATTCTAAAATTTCCATGCATTGCCTTTGGTGGAAAGATGAGCCAAATGGGAAAGGAAGAAAGGGCAAAACATTAATTTTTATTAAGATGACTGGAAGAAATGCTGTGGACTCAACTGTATGGCTGCAACTACAGGTTTCAGCCAACATCAGCTCAATTATCCTTTCAAGGTAACTTCTAATTTCTCTTTAAGGCATCACATTCCACATGATTTGGGATACTCTGCTCATTATCACAGAAAGATAGACATACTTTTCTTCCTTTCCTCATTTATTACAAATCCTTTTAAAATTATCATTAAGCTATGATTAAGCATTCAAAGACTTTACCATAGCTTGGACTTTTAGTGGGCTCTTCACGTTCCCTACAGAAAGGCAAGACATGGGAATCAGAGACTCTCTCATGCCTGGTCTGCAGGGAACTATCTAGCAAACATTGTTGATCTGTTCCCAGATCACAGGTCATGGAAGTGAGCTGTAAACCCTGTCACAAACACATTTCTAATCCAGCTTTCCAAGGGCAGTGAGGTCCCAGCAAAGCTTGGAATCAGCACTGTCAAGTCGCTTGGCTTTGCAGAGTCCACGAAAAAAGGACAAAGCAACTTGTGGCTCTTCCACTAAAGAGCAGTGAAATCCTCGTGTTGCTTTTTTTCCAAGAAGTTGCATTTTCCTACTTCCCAATATCTCTTTTATTCTTAACCATAAAATTCACGAGGAGCTCTTGCATCTAAAACCCTCTCAGAAATAAACCCCTGCTGCCTTCTAAACCCACGAGGAGCTGCTAAAGCCGCCCTCACCCAGCTCCTGCGCTCGGTTTTGCAGGGACAGTGACTGCCCCCAATGTCCCCCGTGTCCCAGAGCAGGAAGTCCATCCAGCAGCAGCTGGCAGGCAGCACAGAGATCCACACAGCCTATGTTTGTCCATTACCCTTTTCCTCTTGGCCGCCGCCTCGGCTCTGTGAGCTCCTCTCCCCTTATACAGGAAGCCGGGGCCTCAAACTTAATCCTGCACATTCAGTTCTCTGCTCTTCCAGCTACCACTACAAATGTACTCTCCCAGAAAAAAAAAAAAAAAAAAAAAGGCAAAAAGCAAGCACGGAAAGCTCTCGCAATCCAATCTTTGCTAAACTTCTCCACGGTGAGATTATTTCTTCTTTTTTTTTTTTTTTTTTCCTGGGAGAAAACTGAAGGAAAGATTAACAAATTCCCGCAGCTGAACAAACACACTAAACGTTATTCATCACAGAGGAGAGCAGATAATCCAAATCTGAAGGTCCAAACAAACCTTGCAACACCACTACAGCCAGAAAACCACCCCAAGTCCCAGAGTCTTCATTCGTCTTTCAGCGTTACACGTCAGGCATTTCATGTGAGCTGCACTCCAGCACTTTCACTGGCTTGTATGCAGGGTTGGGGAAGTGGTAGCAGTGATAGAACCCATAAGAGGATGGGGAGGAAGACATGGTTGCAAGCAAAAAGCTTGACCACAGCAGCCTGGGAACCCAGTGCAGCAGATCCAGTGGGTAAAACGAGGAAGGAGGAGTCTACAACTCTCATTTCTCTTCTTTTAGTCTAAAACCTGTGAAGTTTCTCTGCACTAAAGCATCTACCCCATCTACTGCTCTGCCTGCTCGCTCCATGCCAGGTCTGGACTCCACCAGCAGCCCTTTCCAACCTCAGAACAGCTTGTTTCCTTCTTACCCTAAGAGGGTGAATATCTCCTTTTCCTCTCTCTTGACCATAACAACACTGCCAGGACCACCCCAGTATATTCCAGGGGGAAAACACCCAGCCAAGCAAGCATCAGATTTCTGTATCTTGAAACATGTTTTGTAATGTTGTATGTGTGTCCCCTCCCAGCAGTTTCCTCAATTCCTTCTTCCTGAACCTCGTGGTCTAAAATAGAGTAAAAAAACCCTTCCTGTCATCCTTTCCAATTATTTTGGCAACTTCCTCAATTACTGACTGTAGGTAAAACTCCTACAGCACACATAGAGATATCTTGCAATCTGCTTACATGGCACTTTGAGAAGGGCAGGATTGCCCAGATCCCAGACTCACCATTCTTTCAACTGCTGACTCGGATCAGCAGCCAACTGCACTACACCTCTTACTGGATTTACCCTAAATAATGTCACAATATTTAAGATGTAGACAGCACAGCACCAAACCACCGCTGACTTAAGCACTGACTGTTGTACCCAGAGCCTCATCCAAAGGAGCTGATGTATCTCCAAATGCCTGTGTGGTTGGCTGAGCAATGGCAGCTACTCATGGAAGAACCATGGGATGTGCAAATGGCACCACAAATCAAGGATGCCTTAGAGCACCCCTCCTGCCATCAGTCCCTCAAGGTATTCTGCAAAAAGCATCTGATACGGCAAAGAGAAGAGGTGCTTTTCTGAAAAAGGGAGGGAAGAAGAGCTTTAAGTTCCAGCTGAATTTATTTATTTCAGGGTGCTTCACCTGCTGATTCAAGGTGCTTCCGCTGGTACGAATGAACCTGATGCTTTTAAACACTCATCCTTTATTTCATGTTCAACTGCATATAATGGTTAATTACGTAATAGCAAGAAGAGGTGGGAAGAAAGGAAAAGTGACTACACATGGACTAATAACAGAATTAACCACACCAACACACCTTTTCTATATGAAAACCTGTGTGCCACTGTCAGCACTGCTGTGAGTTCTGCTGGCAATTTAACTGCTGACATGCAGTTGTCACATCAGTCACAGGAACTAGGGGCAGATATAGAAATAAATAAAAGTCAGGATTCCTCACCACAGAATTAAAAAAAAAAAAAAGAAAAAAAGTTCTCAATTTGTTCAGCCTTTCGCTGCAAGTCAGCTTTTCTACTCTCATTGCTTTCTCCCTGCTCCTTGCAAAGCTCTCAACTCCCAGTCCAGCACTCAAAGCTTTACACAGCAGCTCAGAAGTCGTCTTTCCAAAACAGGGTACAGCAGGACGACTTCACCGCTCTTACAAATCAGCTGTCACGTTGGAATGTGTAAACAGACATATATCTCCTTTTTTTTTTTTTACTGCTATGTGTCAGATCTCACTACCACAAATACCTCGGGATTTTCTAAGGTCTAGCAACACAACCACTTGTCTTTTCTTCTGTTTTTGCACTGGTTTATTCCACCAAATCTTGAGAGAGCCTGATCAAGTAACACGAAAAACACAGGATATACATTTAGCTCAACCAGGCCCTTTCTATTTTTAGTGGAAACATCCAGTGTGGCTCCTATTTCAGTACCTGCAGATTCTGCAAATGTCTTCTCCATTGCATCACACAGGTCATCAGTGACCAGTGACAGATCTGAGCACACCAGGGCACTGTCCCACCTGCCACATCCCTGTGAAGGCCCTGGACTACTGACACGTTATACAAAGATTCCTGCACCCATTTTACAGCCACTTATATGCAGACCCCATTTTTCTAGTTTATTCTTAAAAGCTTTATTTCAACGTGTGGTAATCTACTAATTTTTCTTTCCCCTGTTACCAAGTTACAGAAACAAGTTCAGTTTCTGTGACATGGTTTATTTTTGAAAAGAAAAATCTGCTGGGTGTTATTGGCTTCCTTGGTTTCTTGCAGTATTTCTCAAGTTTCTGAGTTCCTCTCTGAAAACTGAAATTAGAAATTATAAATAAGGCAGCCTAGGCATTATTTTAATTCTTATGGGTTTTTTTAGAAGCTTATTTACTCTTCACAAGGTGTCAAAGGTAACAGCTCACAGTTCTGAAGTTGTACAGTTTCACACCAGCCACAAGGCACCCAGTGATTTAATTTGCCATCTGCTCCCAATTAAAATCTTAGCCAGAGACTGATACAAGCTTCCCTTCCCCCATTTTAATACAATATTTTAGTGTCAGAAGTTGGTGACTTCCCTTTCCTGCTGAACACCAGACCAAATCCCTTGTTTTCCTTTCACTACTACAACACTCACCAACCCTTTGCCTTCCCCACAGCCACTGCCAGGTGCACGTTCTGGCAAGCACAAGTCAGAGAACATAAAAAATTAATTAAAAATAATTTAAAAACAACATCCAAAAATATCAGGGACACAAAAATATTCTTTATATTTATCCCTGCTCAAATCATCCCTATTGGAAACTAGGGCAGACTTTTTGCAGGCTTCCTTCCTTCTTGTGCTGGAAAAAGTTTTCAACTTACTGTATTTTCTATCCTTCATTTGAACTGGGACAGCCTGTGCCATCTCCATAATAAAAAAATTCTGTTAAACTGCTACTTCATCTTAAATCCTCTTTTTCTTTCAGGTTTGCATCTGAAAGAACTGAGTCACGCTGCCAGCTTCTCACAGATTACTGAAGTTTGCCACCCTGTAGCTCACTGATTTTAATGTTTCTGCTCTTTCTCTCTTTTCCCCCTTGAACCTTCTGGTAAGTGTCACCATTTCAGTCACCCTTTTCTGAGCCACCTTCTGCTTTTGTGCCCTTGGTGCCTCCTTACTTATGGTGCCTTCAGGGATCTCTCTCAGCTGCTCTTCCTGCATCAAAGCCTCTTGGAACATGAGGAGGATGTGCCCCCGCTGCACCCCTTCCTCAAGTGTTTAGTTGAAAAAAAACCCACTTCACCAGCATCTTCTGTGGTTTGAATCACTCCAGCACTCACACAACACAAGGCACACACTGACTGCAGGTACCTGAGCTAAAGCACTGCAAGAGTTTATAAAGTTGTCCAAGAAAAACTCCCCAGTGTAATGGGGACTGTACTGACACCACCAGCAGTGCTCACTTTACAGCCCATTCTGCTGAGAGACACGTTGTTTTCAGGACACTCACCCACTGCAGCAGCTTCCTGGTGCTACCATTTTACAGTCTAACATTTCATCTCAGTCTTTCTTTCTTGGTAACCCCACAAAGTTCAAGTGTTAATTACTATGTCACAGAGACCCTTCAATCCTGAAGGTGACCCTCCAGTGAGCAAGGACAGCACTAAGGTACACTGCTATGATGTACCACAGCACAGGGAAGCAGCCTTCAAACAGCAAATGGAAGTGTTATCGACATGCTCTGGATCATCTTCAAGGCTCCTCTTCTTGCCAAGTACATCTCAGTCCA